GATGGCGGCACTTTCCTGGACAAATTGTCCACGTTGCTTGGCACGACCTGCACGCTGGGGTGCCTCGTCGAACTCGCCCGTGTCACCGCCACTTGGACCGAGCCAGGGGCATCCGCATGTACGCTACATGCATGCATACTACAAGCATCCACATGACCACCTCGCACGAAGGGCCCACAGCTCTGGCCAACGTGCCAGAACAGGTCGGACCCATCCCGACAACGTGTTGTGGTTGCGGTGTGTATAAAATGTTGGAGGTTTTTCTTCGGGGAATGTATTCAATATGAAAAGGTTCGACGACTCGACATGGAAATGTATGTATTTAAAACAAATTCATTTATTATCTTTATAATAAAAAGTTTAAAATATATGTACAACGACTTGTGTCGACCAAGCAGAGGAATGCCGCCATGGTGACGCTCCGCGCTCCCCTGTGAAGCCCTGACAAGCGAGATCTGCCTGCGGAATTCCTCCCGCATGATCTGTCCTTCGTTGCGTACACCAAGGCCTTTCATGGAACGACGTTAGCAGACGGATCGATGCACGCGGTGTGGAGTAGTGCTGTAGCTGATGTGCGGCCCTTTATGGGACCTCGTCGTCCAAGCGATCGCAGGGTTTTCAAGAGTCGAGCTGCATGCAGAGTTTGGATGCAGTCGGGCAGTCGACGACAACCGCACGCACAAACCGAATCCACGGCGCATGCGGCTACGTTGGCCCGCCTTCCCGTACGCGGCCTCAAGAGGAAGGTGTGGTGGGGACATGCCGACCGCACGTCCGCGTGGATTTCACGTGCATGACGTGGCCGGCGTTGGGGCAACTCGTAGTCACGCGGCGACCCAGGTTGTCGTTGGTGACCCTCTGGCGTTGTCTGACCTCGTTCCGAATCACCAACTTGTTGTTTCGGCAGACTCTCGTGAAGAGAAACGACGTCGGGCCACCTTAAGGCGCGATGTGGATGGATGTCGTGGCTGCGCTCGGCCGAACTTGTCCAGTGCCACGTCGAAACTTTCCGAATCCATTGTAGCAACGACGCCAAAAACACCGCGTTTGCTGCGTCCAACGCGTCATTCGCTTCCATCGCCGAGCGGCGGCACCGCGTAACAGAGCATCCCACGGCACGGTGAGGTCGACACCTCGTTGAAATTCCTGTCTCCCCCACTTCACTCGTCTCGAACTGATGCGCTGGCGAGTGCGCTAGTACGTCGCGATGCTGCCTCTGGACCATGGCTCGTTGAGCATGGATGACCTGCATGCCTCGCCACGGCGTTTGCATCCTCAGCGACGCTGCACAGACTCAACTTGTCGAGTAACAAATGTGGCGTCGAACGCGTGTTTGGTGGCGATGGGCCGATGACCGTCCCGACCTTCAACGACGTCGTCGCGCCTCTCGTTGGAGGAGATACAGCGGAAGGAACGGGACGTATTCGAGACCGCTGGTGGCTCCACTGGCGCATGCGGACAGAGGTCACCGAAATGCAGCACGACCTCGGCTGAAAGGCCTCGACGGGGCACATGCAACGCGTGCGCGATTCACGCACCAGTCGACGGCACAATTTCGTTCTTTGGCCGGCGCGCGACTCGACCGAAAGAACACATCGTGGGAGCTCGGAAAAGGATTTACCAGTTGCAGATGAGAGCATTCCCGTCCGTGTAGTCGACCAGTGTGCAGTTCGTGGTCTGTTGAAATGCCGAGTCGTGCACCGAATGACCGCTTTCGATAGCGTCCAACGTGTCAGGATTTGGCGCGCAGCAGAAAAACGTGTGTGCCGCGCGGGGTATTGTCGAGAAGAGGGTCACGCATGCTCGCCGCGTTAGGTTGGTATTACGAGAGAAAACGAGCAGCTCGGACACCGTTTTTCGGCGCGAACACGGTCGCATGGTAGGTTTCAGGGGGTGCGTGGCCCGCGGTGAGCGGTCCAGTGGCAACGCCGCAGCACCGCAACGACAGCATGAAGAACACATTGACGTCGATGAGAATCGCAATGACCTTGCCAAGGCCACCGGGAATGCCGACGTCCATGAGCGCCATGAAGACGAGGTACGCACACCGTCCATAAAAGTAGAACATGAACCCGACCTGGCGCCGCAGGATGCGGTGGAAGCGCTTGAACTTGCATTCGTACAGGAAGAGCGGCAGTGCCAACAAGATCGCGTAGGCCGAGACGAAGATTGGGGCCAGGTGCAGAATGTCCAGGATCGACAGAAACCCGTAGATGCCAGCTACGACTTGCAGCACGGCGACCCCGAGATTGAGAAAGCCAACGGTGGTGGCACTCGCGCGGGGCCACGTCATCGAACGTCAGCGATCGTTTGCTTGATGCACGTCGACCGCATTTTTTGGTCGGACGATATGGAACCGTTTGGACTTCGCCGCCAACAAGACTCGACGGCGCCGCGCGCTTGTCCGTTGGAGAAGCGACGTCGATGCACTGCCGCACTTGACGTCACCACCTGACATCAAGCGGATGGCTTGTGAAACACTTGGTGCGGCGTGCAAAGATTTTGTCGAGAGATTGGTGCTGCAGTCATGTTGGGAGGTATCGCGTGGATGTTGTTGAGATGATTCAAACGATGCAAAGTGCTCGAGAGTGCATATGAACGGGTCTTCCGATGGCGCAACCAGAATGGTGTCGAATCGATGGTCGTGAACAGTCGTTCATCTGTCGAATTCGACTCGATCGGCAGGCACCTTGACCCTTCAACGCCTTGATTCTACCCTGACTAGCACGTACGATGAGCTATGGAGCTCGTATTCAGGGCGAATGTTGCAATTGCGCGCTCGCGGTCTTTCGTATGACCACGATGCGACAATGCACCCAACTGGCTATTCACTAGAGGCGGATATTGTCATTATCTTCAAATATTTTATAAAATGAAATATATAAAAATCATTATATATAATGAATAAAACAATTTATTAAATATACAGATTTGATCTATTCTTTAAAATAGAATTTGATTACGTCCAAATGTCCAGATTGTGCCCGCGAAGTCAAGGCACAGGCTCTGGACTACCGAGCCAAGGCACATGCGTCTGCTAGCATCGCCATGCCATCCTGTGCCCATGATATCTCGTCGATCGTTTTGGCGTCGTGGGTTGGCGGCGCGGCAATCTCTCGGAACGAATCCCCGCGATTTGATTGGCTCCCAAGGGACGTGGTTCTGGCACGAGTTGAAGTTGGAATTGTCGCCTTTTATTTTATTGTATCGACATCACGATGTAATATAATTCCCCTGCTCAATTCGCCGTTGACGGCCAGAAATCCACTGATTTGTTTAAAACCATAAAATACAGTTTACAACAGCATACAAAGAGCAATACAAAGATGACGTAGGTTTAGAACAGATTGCGTCACCTCGACCGCCAGTGACGGAGAATTCCTGACAGCGGCACCATGGACAAGGAGCGAAAGGCTGCGAAAGCCGCGGGATCTCGCGCAACAGCCGCCACAACGTCCGCCGCGCCTGCGAGCAACATCCGACCAGAGATGTACCAGTGGCTAGTCCATGAATCCCAGAAACACCAGGCCAACCTGAAGAAACACACTCCCGCCGTGGCCGCAGGAACCCCACCGGCGAATCTCACCGGGCTCCAGATGCTCGGTATGCCCCATCTACACAACCATGCGGCCACGAACGTACTGCAAATGCAGCAAATCAATCAAATGTTGCCGCTCATGTCAACATACCCTGGATTCCTCGGTTTTGGGAACCTCAACCAACCCAACGGAGCGGCCAATACCTCAGTCCCGCCCACTGCAGTTGCTGCTGCGGCTGCCGCTGCAGCTGCTTCAACCAACCCCCTCAACCTGTTCAGCATGACGGTACCGCCCAAGTCTACGGACATGTCGAATGGTTCGTCAGAAGACGCCGCCGCGTTGCATCTGCTGCACCAAGGTCCGTCTTCCAAGAAAAAACCTCGCACCAGCTCGGACGTCAAGTCGGATCTGGACGGGAGCTACGACAACAACAGCAACGACATGTCGTTGTCGTCAAATCCACTACGGAAGCGGCGCCTCGAACGGAATCGCGAGTCGGCGCGAGAATGCCGCCGGCGAAAGCGGGACCACATTCTGGGCGTTGAAGAGCGATGCAAAGCGCTGGAAAAGGAGAACATGGAGCTTCGGTCGCAGTTAAAGGCGGGGAAGGAAGCAATGAAGCAGGAGGAAGATGAAAAGTATCAGATCTGCCACGAGTTGGAGCGAATGATCAAAGACGGTGCGAGCGAGCAGGACCTGGCGGCCAAGATCGACAACTTCAAGGAGGTATGGCAGACAGAATTGAAAGGCGAGAAGGCCCGACATGCATGATCTGTAGCAATACTCGGACTATGGACAAGCAAGGCGTTCGGCGCTGAGCTACCACTTGCATCAACTCGAACGGCTGCTGATGCCGACGCAAGTGACGAAGATGTGCATCTGGGCCCTCAAGCAAGACGATGCGTTCTGGGAAGATGGCGAAGACGAAACGAGTCTCCTGTCGATCCTTACGCATGATTTGGGGCTTACGGAGGAACAGCGAAAGAATATTCAATCCCACCGGTTCGTCCCGAGCACTCGACCGCTGCGATGCTCAATGATGCGTGTAGAGGAGCCATCGTCAAGATTTGCGACAACTTGCGACTTGCTCTCAAGCTCCTGAACGAACTCAAGCGAGACGTCGAAGCGAAAAACATCACGCTCGACACCGAGATGGACCAACTCCAGAACATCCTGACGCCGACCCAGCGCGCCAAGTTCATCGTGTGGGTCACGAACAACCCCGCGTGCATGCACCTGCTCAACAAGCTCTGGACCAATGTCTTATAATCACATACTACACTCCCCATATATATATATATTCGCGTGCTCCACGTCGCCTTGCTCCGCCCGCGGTGCCTCCGTGCCGCGCCATTCCGTCCCGAGAAAACTCGAATGTCGCACACTAAATGGGGTTGACAACAGAATCACACTATTCCGAGACGTGGGGTATTCCGGATAATTGATATATCATGCGGATATTGACATCCGGATGTTGTGATCCGGATACCAAGGATCGCACAAGCACAACGCCGTCATGTCGCTCTGCCTCGTGAGCGAGGGACTCAAGTACACGGGAGGATCTGGGATGCGGGAGCGACTCATGGAATGACGTAGGTGCTTTGGTTTCTTCTCGGGGTTGTACCAGTCGCTGAAGGTGCTCCATCGACAGGAGAGGCATTCGAAATGCCACCACGTGCTCAAGTTTTGGGCGGTTCTTGGGTCGATTGTCCTGTTTGGCCAGTACATCGAAGGGTTCATTTCGTGGCTCCCATTCTACTACTGGGTCAAGTGCATTGTCGTGGGAGGGCTCCTCCTACCGAAGGCCAAGCTCCACGTCGTGGCGTTCGAATCGGCTGTGCTGCCGGCTGTGGAATGGCTGGATGTGTACTTTGAGAGCAAGACAAAACCAGAACTCCTGCGACTTGCCGGTCTATATGGACAATGGCTCCACGAAGCCGTCATGCAGCTTGCTCTTCCATCCCTGTCGGATGCCGCACTGGACAAGCTCGAGAAAGATCTCATCAAACGACTCGACGACGTTCGGGTAACCAACCGTCCACGTCAGCCGTTGCCAATCTCGTCCTTGCACGTAGGAAGCCAAAAAAGTCCGTGCAGACGCCATGTAGAGCCAACGAGTCTCTCCATTCGACGTATCGTAAATGGATGCTGCTGGCATCCACAGGAGTGTACAGAGCGATGTGTTCCTAGGGCCATGACAAGCGCATCGAGTGGAAAGTTGTTTGGAAAACGCATTAAATTAGTCGATCCAATTGCTCGACTATTCGAGTAAACGTGGGTCTATCGGTGGGGTTTCGACTCAGGCACGTCGTATACATCCGAACGAGGTCGACGGTGAGTGCTTCGCTCCGTTCCCCGAGCACTTCCGCCATCACTACAAGCCACGGTGAGTGTCGCAGCCGCTGTTACACGAGTCCCGTACCAAGAGCGAAGCTGTAAACGTCGGCCATTTCATCAAATGGATGGGAGGCGTCGACAACTTCGGGGGCGACCCATGGATGCGCCACCGGTTTTTTGAATCGGCTGCATTCAGCGTTGGCGATTTTTGCTCGAAAGTCATGTCTAGCCATGGCGATGTCAGCGGGAGAGTGCGCGCGGAATCGTGGACGTACGTGATGTGGATGTTGCCGGTATGCAGGGCCTGGTGGATGATGGGAGGATTGCGAGTGTGGAGAAATGCCATGCCGCAGGCAATGTCTCGCAGCAGCGACACAACGTGCGTTTCCAGATCGATGCGGTGCAGGCACTGCCGCAAGTCGCCGTTCTCAACGCACTCAGTCACGACATATCTACCAAAGCCAATGAGCATGTGCATCGACAAGTTGTGGTTGAGCGTACGAATGGGGTCCTTGGCACGTCACGCCGACAAACTTGACAACGTTGGGGTGGACCAACTGCTTCATGAGTTGCAACTCCTTCGCCAGCGCGATCGTGTCGAGTCGTGTTACGTCGATCTGCTTGACCATGACGCGAGTCATGTAGTTTGGGCCGATGCACCAGCTCTTGTTGATGCTTACCCACGGCGCGTGGGTGTCGGCGAGTTTCGTCCCGAGTCGAATGCAGTGCCACGGGATGGCAATCGCCGCCAAACTCGCATCTAGATCTATCTGACCGAACGTATCACCTTGCCGCATCGGCGCGTTGCGGTGTGCAAGCAGCTTGCATTCCTGTGGGGCCACCTGTGCCGCCGACACATGCGCGTTCCCCATGTCGGTGCTGCGTCTACTTGGTGAAAATGGTGTGGAGTGCCAGTTCTTTCGTGCTGTTGTCGATTGTGATTGGGTACAACTCACACATGTCGCCAAAGTCGAAAAAAACAGCAAAAAAACACCAAATTCCACGCCATGCGCCCAGTCGCGCCGCTGGCCTCCTGTGGTGCTGACGCGCTTCTACGTCATCCCACCCATCATGGGACGTCGTCTTGACAGGTTACCGTCGACGTTATCGCAACGTCACGACGTTTCCAAGGTTTGGCAACGAAATGCATGGAAATCGACAAGTTATCGACCGATTTTTCGTTGGCCGCCGATGAAAACACCATGGCGCGTGGGGAATGACACCGCGTCCCTCGACGCATGGTACGTTGGCCGGTGTCGTCTTGTGTGACAGCTTCGTTTCCTACACAGTACAAGATGCCGACGTGCTCTCGTGCTAACGCGACATAGATGGGTCGGCTGCGCTGGAATGAACGGATTTCTGCCGGCAATGCTGGACTCCGCCTCTCACAACAGCATGCAGCAGCTACAACGAGTTCCATGAATCCCGTCGACGTTCGAACGCCGGGGTCCAGATATTCAAGATATTTGCCAAATCAAGAAATATTCGTCAGTGGTGTGTCTCGACTACTATGGTACAAATCCAAATAGTCAAGATATTTGCCAAATCAAGAAATATTCGTCAATGGTGTGTCTCGGCTACTATGGTAC